TTGTAAAGAGTGCTGCAATGAACAAACAAGTGCAGATGTCACTTCGACTATACATTTTTGCCTCTCTGGGATATATTCCCAGGAGTGGTATTGCTGGGTCAAATGGGAGCTCAATTTCTAATTTTTTGAGAATCGTCCATACTGTTTACCAGAAGGGCTGAACCAGTTGACATTCCCACCAACAGTGAAGGAGTGTCCCTTTCTCGCCACATCCACGCCAGCATCGGTTGCTTTTGTTCTTTTGAATGTGGGCCAGTCTCTGAGGTGTGAGATGGTATCTCATTGTGGTTTTGATCTGCATCTCCCTGATGATTAATGATGTAGAGCATTTTCTCATGTGCTTTTTTGCCATTCGGATTTCTTCTTTGAGAAAGTTTCTGTTCATTTCATTGTCCCATTTTTGGATGGGGTTGGATGTTTTCTTCTTGTGGAGTTTAACCAGTATTTTGTATATCCTGGATATCAACCCCTTGTCAGATGTGTATTCGGCGAATATCCTTTCCCATTCTGTAGACTGTCTTTGTATTTTGGTCACTGTTTCTTTGGAGGTGCAGAAGCTTCTTAGTTTAAGATAGTCCCATTTATCTACCTCTGTTTTCACTTGCTCAGACAGTGGCGTGGCATCTTTGAAGATACCATTAGCTTCAATATCATGGAGGGTTTTGCCAACTGTGTCTTCAATGTACCTTATGGTTTCTGGTCTGATGTTGAGGTCTTTAATCCATTTTGATCTTACTTTTGTACATGGTGTTAGGCAGAGTTCTTAGCCCATTTTTTTGCATGTAGCCGTCCAATGATGCCAGCACAATTTGTTAAAGAAGCTTTCCTTACTCCACTTCACATTACTTGAACCTTTATCAAAGATTAGATGATCATATGACTGAGGGGAGATGTCAGTGTATTCAACCCTGTTCCATTGGTCTGCAGTTCTGCCTTTGTTCCAGTACCATGCTGTTTTAATTATTACTGCTTTGTAGTACAGTTTGAAGTTCGGGAGGTTGATTCCTCCCATTTTCTTTTTCCCAAGAATTGCTTTAGCTATTCGTGGGGGCTTATTGTTCCATATAAATTTCAGGAGTGTTTGCTCCATTTCTTTGAAGAATGTCATGGGTATGCTTATAGGGATTGCATTGAATTTATACAATGCTTTCGGTAGCATTGCCATTTTGACAATGTTAAGTCTCCCGACCCATGAGCAGGGGATATATTTCCATTTCCTCATGTCCTCTTTTATTTCCTGAAGTAGCGTTTTGTACTTTTCTTTGTACAGGTCCTTTACTTCCTTAGTTAAGCTGATTCCTAGGTACTTGATTTTCTGGGGCACAATGGTGAACGGGATTGTTTTTTTCATGTTGCTTTCTTCTCTCTCACTGTTTGCGTATAGGAAAGCCATGGACTTTTGGGTATTGATTTTATAGCCTGCAACTTTACTATACGAGTCTATTGTTTCTAGGAGTTTTTTGGTGGAGGTTATTGGGTTCTCTAAGTAGAGTATCATATCATCTGCGAATAGTGAGAGCTTGATTTCTTCCTTTCCTACCTGAATGCCCTTAATATCTTTTTCTTGCTTAATCACTATTGCAAGTACTTCCAGTACTATATTGAACAGCAGTGGAGATAGTGGGCATCCTTGTCTCGTCCCTGATCTTAGAGGGAAGGCTCTCAGTTTTTCCCCATTGAGGATGATGCTTGCTGTAGGCTTGTGGTAGATGGCTTTAATTATGTTAAGTTACTTTTTAAGAGTCCAGGGAAATAGCTCCAAAGTCTGGAGTGCATGCCTGGCACGAGCAGAACCCAAGCTCTATCTCTGGCACTGCAGAGTCCCCCAAACACTGCTAGGTATGGTCCTGGTGGCCCCCAGCACCACTTGAGAAGAGCATCATTAATTGGAGTGCTGAGCATCTAGCCTACACACAGGAACCAATATTGCCATCAGATTCCTGACCCCCCCTAAGCACTGCCTAGATGGAATCCCTGAAAATTACCCTTTACATCTGGTTACTGAATATGTAAGCACCACAGATTTTTTTCAATGATGTTTTGTGAATCACAAAACACAAGCTAGAGAAATGTAGTTAATGTAGGATTAGAAGTTAGAATGTTATCTGCTCAGCACCTCTGGCAGGTTTGCCTGCATCATACGACTCCAACAGAAAATTCATGATTTTACATACGGTTCAATTTTAGTTGCTACTTGCAGAGCCAGGTTACTCCTGGCTCTGCACTCAGGAATTACTCCTGGTGGTGCTCAGGGAACCATATGGGATGCTGGGAATTGAACTCGGGTTCGCTGCGAGCAAGGCCAACGCCCTACCTGCTGTGCTATCACTCCAGCACCTGTTAACATCATTTTGTTTGGTTTCTGTTTGGTTTTCAGGCCACATCAGGCAGTGCTTAGGCCACATACTCTTTCTATGTTTAAAGAACTATATGGTGCAAGGTATTGAATCTGGGTCGCTATAGTTTTCACTTTACTGAGCACTTCTTTGTTAATGTATAATTATCGACTCGGTAAGTATTAATTAATTCCATTATGTGCTAAGCAGTGTGCTCACAAGATGAACAAGATCAGTCTGGTCACTGTTCTCAGGAAAATCATATTTTTCTATTTAATTTTGGTTATTTTTTTTAAAATTTTGGTGCACATATAGATCATAGGACCTCATGTGTTCAAAACGTGTGCTCTACCAGTAAGCCACATTCTAAGCTCTAATTTTGATCCTTAGCCCTAAATTTGATCCTTTCAAAGTTACAAACTAGCTCTGAATTTCATTAGCCTCTTAAGATTAGTGACCTGGGTTACTTCTTCAAATTCACCCTTTCTATGACAGACCAATATACTTATTGATTCTTCTCATTAGCACATTTTCTTCAAGAATACACATAATTATTTGTGATAAAGAGATGTTCATTTGGGTGTACTTAAAGTATATATCATATATAGACTGCTTATTAATTATAATGAGAAAATTTGTAGAAAATAAAACAGACAATACACAGTGGAAGATTTCAATGAAAAATATATGAACATCATATTTCTTCAGGTGATGTCCTGAGAAAGTGTTCATAGTGAGAATACTCACAATTTATAAACTATAAGTACATATAAATGGTCCTTTTCTTTTTTTTTTTAATTTTATTGATTCATGGTGAGATATAGTTACAAGCTTTCTTGTTTGAGTTACAATCACAGAATGATCAAACACCCATCCCTCCACCAGTGCACATTCCCCACCACCAATATCCCCGGTATAACCCTCCTTTCCCACCCTCCTCCTGCCTCCATGGCAGATAATATTCCCCATTCTCTCTCTCTACTTTGGGGCATTATGGCTTGCAATGCAGACACTGAGAGGTTATCATGTTTGGTCCTTTATCTACTCTCGGTACACATCTCCCATCCTGACCGATTCCTCCAACCATCATTTTCTTAGTGATCCCTTCTTTATTCCAGCTGTCCTCTCCCCACCCGCTCTTCATCCAAACCTATTTTTAAAATTATTTAATAAAAATAAAATTCATTTATATCTCATTAAGGAGAAAAACAGCTCATCCACTAAAAGTCTCAGATTTTTATAATACTGACTTTTCTCTTAAACAGTAGTTCATGTTTACTGTTGAACAATTTTTTTCATAATGCTATGATTTTTCCTACTTTTCTTATCCTAACACTGGATTTTCTGGCTACTATTTATCCTGATGATTCAAGGCTGACTTTACAAGCAAGTCTCTGTTTCATGTTCAAAAGAAAAGGAAAATTGTCAGGTCTGACAAAAAGAATAATGTAAAGGTTCAATTTAACCTGGGGGTTGGAGCAATAACACAGCAGTAGGACATTTGCCTTGTGTGAGGCCGGCGTGGCCGAGCCAGATTCGATTCCTCTGCCCCTCTTGGAGAGGCTGGCAAGCTACCAAGAGTATCTTGCCCGCACGGCAAAGCGTGGCAAGCTCCCCGTGACGTATTCAATATGCCAAACACAGTAACAGCAAGTCTCACAATGGAGATGTTACTGGCCCCCCTTGAGTAAATCAATGAACAATGAGAGGACAGTTCTACCAAGGTGAGAGCAAATTTCCCCTTAAAAAAATAATGAGCAAGTTAAGCGCCTAATGACTCCACTAGTGTTTATCTCATGGAAAACCTTCAACCAATTTTGTTGCTGAACAAAAAGAACCAAATGGTCTCAAAATCCTCACTGAAAGAACAAAACCCCAAAGTTATTCCCACTGATCAGTTGAATACTCATTATGAGAAGTAGAACACTTCAAAAACATGAAATGAATCATTGCACAGAATCAAAACTCAAGGGTTTTCTCAAGGACATTCAGTCTGATTAGACCACCCGTGGTCCTTGGTTTGCAGGTGTTAAAAAAGAAAGAACAAGTGATCAGATCTTACACAGATGCTGATGAATAACTATAAAAGGAACGCAAAAGAGCAAGGAAAAGGTAGCAATTCTACAAGCTCAATTTTCAATAGTTTCAAGTTTTTTTTCAGAACTGATTTCAGATTTTTTCAGAACTAGAAAAATCCTTTCAATCTCAGAATGACAAATAATAAATTTATTGCTACATATTTAGAAATACTAAATAAGTCCATTTAAAAGGACAGGTTATTTTGTGATTCATACTGTACTATAAGAACACTTTAAAAGAAAAATGTTAGGGGCTGGAGCGATAGGATAGTGGGCAGGGCATTTGCCTTGCACGTAGCCGACCCGGGTTTGATCCCCAGCATCCCATATGGTCCCCTGAGCACTGCCAGGAGTGATTCCTGAGTGCAGAGCCAGGAGTAACCCCTGTGCATCGCCGGTATGACCCCCCCCCCCAAAAAAAAGAGCAAAAAAAAAAAAAGAAAAATGTTGAACTCATAATGAAATTTCTGACTAAAATGTTTAACACCAGCTTTTATTTGAACTACTAAATGCAACTATATTCTTTTCTTCAATCAATATGCCAAAATAGATATAACAGGCTACTGAATCAAAGTTTTATACTTACCCCGAAAAATCAGCAGAATATTGTCCATAATCAAAGATATAAACTCTAGTAATTTGGCACACTGTGAGGTATCCCAAAGCAAACACAAAACAATATCTGTAAAACAAAAATAAGCAGGATTAGTGAAAATGAAATATTCATGTTTGAAGAATATACTTTAAAGTAACTTATTAATTATGATGTTCAAAATTAAAGATACTAGGATAACTTGAAAAATAATTTTCTTCCATAAATAAAAATTAGTTTCTTCTTCAGTTTGCTTAAATTTTGTACCATACTCATGATGAAAGCATTTCATAACTACCTTTTTTTGTTTTCTTTCTTAATGACTTTCAGACACCAAATTGTGTATCTCAATGCCATGCTCATAAAGCACTGAAATGTAAGAATTGGTATTTTTTTAGTTTTCCATATTTAATAAACAAAAATCTGGCTAAAATATATTGTACATATTCTTGAACTTTTTTAACTTGATAGTCTAAAATTGTATATCCTGAGTGCAGATCAAGTGTCATTTACTCTCATTTCCTAGGCATAAACATTTAGTGCTTTCACAGTAAACTCCAATTAGCAAAGTTACAATGAAATAAAAACAGACAGGGAGAGATAATTGATATATCTATAGGAGCAAATAGGAACACAGAGAAAATTCTAGAACATGTAAAATTATATAGAATAGAGGCTGCCACACACATATGTGGCAATTAGGTCTGATTACCTAATTAGTTAAATTTTGATAATAGATAACTATATTCCCATGTAAACAATTCTAAGTGGAGTAAAGAATTGCTTATACGACACATAAAACCAAAACATAGAGAACTGTGGACAAATATTTAAATGTTCTTAATTTAGAGATTTCCTAACTAGAAGACAAAATAAAACCAACACATTTGGATAAGTTAGTCTTAAGCCTCTTACGTAAGCAATTCAAAAATTTTATGAAAGAGTTATTTCAAACTTCAAGCAGGTAATTATAATCTACGTAAATTATTTCTGAATCAGAAAAGCGGGGAGAGAGTGAGGATTGGTGAGAAAGAGAGAAATCTTCCTAATTCAAAAGCTTTATAAAGTGAATATAATTCTGATAACTACATTTGGAAAAACAACACCGATTCATATTCACACACAGTATTGACAAATAATCAAACTTAAATTCTAAAATGCATCTGGGGTCTAGAGAGATAGTACAGAGGGTAGGGTTCTTGCATGTGGCTGTCTGGGATTGACTCCCCAGCATCCCATATGGTTTTCCGAGCTCCACTAAGAGTGATGTCTGAGTGCAAGTCTAGGAATAAGCCCCAAGCACAGATGGGTGTGGCCCAAAATTAACCTCCCTCCCCAATTTTTTTTAAATAAAAAGCACTTGGCATATATTTTCCCCAAAGGTGACATTAATGATATCTCTCCCACTTTACTGTCCTTCTACAACTGGGCCTTCTGTGTTCCACTGAAAATAATCTATTTCTACACCCATTTTGAATTGGGCTGGTGCTCTAGCTGAGCACTGTGGTAGAAGCAAGCAATAGCTTGCTAGTTCCAGGTGTAATCAATAACTGGCCGGGCAATTCTGACTTGCCTTTAGGAATATAACTGTCACAAGGGAAATGTGACAGATCTATGCCAGGCTACGTAGGATGAGACATTTGGGAGAGAAAGAGGAAAAAAGCCTGTCACAAGGTTAAGTGAGTTAAGTGTCAGATCTAACTAATTGAACCTTTCTGGAATTCCTGGTCCAAAATAATATACCAAAGAGCTTTAGGCATTGTCTTGATGCAGAAGCATAATGAGAACAGAAACTGGCAAGTGAAACTTGGGTGTAGCCCTAATCAAACTTGTTCTTTATTAAAATCCTCACGTGGAGTACTGTACTTGAGGAACCACACCAAAAAAGCTTCATCCACACTAAAAACTTGAGACAAGGCAGACATCTTTTTTTTAAACTATTATTGAATCACTGTGTGCAACACTTACAAAGCATTCATGTTTTATTTTCAGTTACACAATGATCGAACACCCATCCCTCCACCATTGTACATTTTCCATCACCAATGTCCCCGATATCCACTCCTCCCCTCCCATTTCCCTGTGTCCCACCTCTCCCCCTGCCTCTATGGCAGACAGTTTCCCTCTTTCTTTCTACTAATGGGCATTATGGTTTGCAATACAGATAATAAGAAGCATTATGTTTGGTCCTTTATCTACTTTCAGCACACATCTCCCATCCCGAGCAATCTCTCCAACCATCATTGACACAGTGATCCCTTCTCTATTCCAGCTGCCCTCTCCCCACCTCATAAGGCAGGCTTTCAACCATGGAGCAATCTTCCTGGCCCTGTTTCTACTGTCCTTGGGTGTTAGTCTCATATTATGACATTTTATATTTCACAAATGAGTGCAGTCATTCTATGTCTGTCCCTCTCTTTCTGACTCATTTCACTTAGCATGATACTCTCCATGACCATCCATTTATAAGCAAATTTCATGACTTAATCTTTCCTAAGATGCTGCATAGTATTCCATTGTGTAGATGTACCAAAGTTTCTTTAGCCAGTAGTCTATCCTTGGGCACTTGGTTTGTTTCCAGATTCTGGCTATTGTGAATAGTGCTGCAATGAACATACACGCACAGATGCCATTTCTACTGTTATTTTTTTTTCTTTTTTGCTTTTTGGGTCACACCCAGCAATGCACAGAGGTTACTCCTGGCTCGTGCACTCAGGAATTACCCTAGCGGTGCTCAGGGGACCATATAGGATGCTGGGAACCGAACCTGGGTCAGCCGCATGCAAGGCAAACACCCTACCCACTGTGTTATCACTCCTGCCCCTCTACTGTGTTTTTCTGCACCCTCAGGATATTTTCCCAGAAGTGGTATTGCTGGGTCATATGGGAGCTCAATTTATAGTTTTTGAAGGAATGCCCATATAGTTTTCCAAAAAGGCTGGACCATTCAGCATTCCGAATAACAATGAAAGAAAGTCCCTTTTCCCCCATATCTGCACCAGACCTGGATGTTCTTGTTCTTTTTGACGTGTGCCAGTCTCTGTAGTGTGAGATGATATCTTATTGTTGCTTAGATTTGCATCTCCTTGATGATTAGCGATGTACAGCATTTTTTCATGTGACAAGGCAGAGATCTTGAACTGTACTACCCCACAATGAAATAAAATTCTGTGGCTCTTAAGTAGTGAAGCGATTTTATTTTTTATGCAAAATGTGTGAATTATATGGATCAGTGACAGGATGTCTCCAAAGACTAATTCCCCCAATCACACCATCTCTCTTGACCAACTGGTTCTGTACAAGAGTGGGAATATAATTTCTAGCCTTTTGAGTCTGGACTGAACTGAATAACTTGGTTTATCAATACAATACAATACAATGAAAATGACTCCTGAGGCTTGGTCATAAGGAACCTCAAAGCTTCATCCTAGATTTCATGGTATGTCTGGTCTTACTTGACTTGTGCTCTCTGAGTCCAACCAGTCATCAGAAGTGAGCATCCCAAGCCCACAGAGAGGCAAGTGTAACTGCACCAGGCAACAATACAAGCTCCTCTCCCAGCCAATAGCCATCACTATGGCCAGCCACAGAGAGAAGCATCTTGGATGTCAAACAGCCAGATCTTTAAATGTCTACAGTTCTAGTCAATATTTAATCACTAATGTGTGCCAGTGAGACAGTACAGTGGTTGAGTTGCTTGTCTTACACTCACTCAACCCCGGTTCAGTTCCCTGCCACCCCATTTGAGCATATGGGCACCACAGGAGTGTTCTCTGAGTGCAGAGCAAAGAGTAACCCCTAAGCATCACGAGGTGTGGCCCAAAAACAACAAAAAAAATTTTATAGCAAAAGAAAACCCAAACAAAAATTATTTCATTGAATTTAGTCACCCTACAGAACTATTTAAACAACATAGTGAAGACAGTAATTTTGGAATCATTTGTCATGTGCAATAAACAATTCTTTCATAAGAATTTTGCAAGCTAAAAGTAATTTAAAATAGAACATCTCAATTAGGTAGAATTTTATAGAGACAAGTATATAATTCAATACAGAAATAATAGGAGTATGTATCATTATATTGATGACATAAAGGGAAAATAGCTATAGTATACATATGAACAGAAAGTTTATAAAATTTAATTTTTCCACATAAATAAAGCTAGTAAACTCAGGGAAAGAACGCTCTCTCGTGCTTAGCACTACCAAAGTATTCAGTTGTTGATCAGCTTCAATCCTCTAGTATGGCATGGGGAAAATGAATGAGGATTTGAAGTGGGTAGGAGAGGTTTGTACGTTAATATGATTGCCCTACTTGTAGACTTATTTTGAAAGTTCAAACAACATCAAAGTTCTCATCAAAGTTCATGCTCCCAAATTTTATTTCTAAATTTAGTATTATAATCCCAATTAAAATCCCGACAATACTAGGCTTGAGAGAGAGCTCAATAGGCAGAGCTCATGCTTTGCATTGAAGAGACAGGCCTGGGTTTCATCCATGGAATTGCTTTGTCCCCTCAGCATGTGAGCACACCCCAAGCAAGGAGCAGCCCCTGAGCACAACTATGTGTGGTCTCCTCCCCAAAATCAATTCTTTAGAGCAGAGTACAGGCTCCCAGGATGTTCCAAGGTGAAAATACTTCAGCCAGAGGGGGAAGGGGGACACAGTACAACATTAAGGGGACAACTGGTAGGAGAGGGGGAACAGAGGAAGGAAGGAAACAAGGTCAGCGGTGGGCCACGGCTGGAAAGGGGTTGAGAAATACACTTCAAGAGGACTCTGACAAGCAATTTTCAAGGTCTCCTGAAAAACTAAACAAACATGAGGAGAACTTTCTCATCCTACAGATAAATATGTCATGTTGATTCATAACATAGTATTGTTTCAGAAATAGATCAAAGATTAACCAACAGAGAGCAAAATTACAAAGAAACTCATTGTACAATCCAGAATTAGTGGGGAAGGAGGTAAGTGAGGTTAAAAGTTAGCTTTCCTTCAGAAATAAAAAGGTTTTCCAGCTTATGCTACATATAAATACAACACTTTGGACTGTGAAAATATATAAATGAAAAATGTATGACAATTTAAA